TTGTATGTACTTCAGAGCAGTTTTAGTACACTCAGAGAATGCAAAAAAGAATTCAATGAACTCCTGGGAGTGGGCACCGGGTAAAAGGTTTGAGGAAGGTGTGGATTTCAGAAGAGATTACCAACAGGTAAATAATCTGAGAGGCATTTCAAGATCAGTCCTGCAGATAAAAAGCCTAGATGGCTTTTAACCCTTCTCCTGCAGAGGCTGACTAGCATAAATGTGCTAGTCAAGACTGGCCATTCCTTGCTGGAAAGCTGCAAAGTGAAAAATTGGAAGTATGGAGGAGCAGGAATAAAAATGCTCTGCATATCTGTCAGGGTGGGATAAATCTGCTAGGGGTTAGAAGAGCCGTGGCATAGTCTTCTGCACTGGGACTGCACAGTCATCACCTGACTGTCCCAGGGTGAAGTTTGAGAGGGGAAATACAGGCCTTTGATACACCCTGAGTGAGCAAAAGGTGTGCTAGGTATGAGAGAGGGTTACAGTAAAGGAGATGAGAGAACCGCAGAAAGTAACAGCTGTGTCAGACTGTTGCTCTCAGCACAGATGGATGCTCCTGAGCTGGAAAGGCTTCTGCCTCTCCTGGCCTGACCTTGAAAATTGCCTCAAAAGGGGTCCCACTTGGCAGGGAGTGCGGGCTGCGCGGCCCTGCTCTTGGACTCGAATTCACCATTCATAGCTATGGCGTGAGCTGTGTCACCTCCGTCCTCTGAGACACAGGGTCTCCTCTGCTTCAGCGCCGCAGCGCAATCCCTGCCGCTGGCCGACAAAGCCGTGGGACAACCCTGATCCAGGCCTGGGCTGGGGAATGGGGGGGAGGGTCTAAACTGAGCTCATGCTTCAGGGCGAGCCTGCCTGCTGCTGCACTACGAGCCTGCGCCGAGGGCAGCTGTGAGAGGCTGGAGCCCAGGGCGCCTGTTGCGGGGGCTGGCCATGGGTGCTGGATTGTGTAATGGAGGAACAGTGGTACTTTTCCCTAATCCACCAGCTCACCCAGAGGCAGGTTAGCTGGGAGCTGCATCTGCAACCTCTGGCTGCTGACGGAGGCAGGCTTCCTTCATGCCAGTCTTGTGTGCCTACTGCTCAAAGAAGGATTTTCGGAAAAGGCTGGGACAGCAAGAGAGATTATGCAGCTACATGGGACTTTAGACTTTCACAGGGAACTTTTATACAAAATGCCTCACTTCAGTGCCTCTCATCCCCCCTTGTCTATCACGGCTTTTAAAATGAAATACAATAAACCTGCTGTCATTTTCTGCCTGGTGTTTGCTTCTCTGGTCCTGCACGGACACTTGTCTCCTGTGGTCACTGGGGGGCACGAGTGAGCTGTGCTGCAGAGCCTGGAGCCAGCCCTTCCCTCTCCCTCTGCTCTGCTCTGCCCGGTCCCTGTCCCTGTCCCCACGCTCCGTCCCCGTCCCTGTGCTCGGTCCCTGTGCCCTATGCCCTGTCGCTGTCCCTGTGCTCTGTGTCCTGCCCGTTATGTGGCATTTCCTTCTAGGTGCTCAGACAGATGATAAGCCTAGTGTCAGTATACTGCCTAAACTAGAAGAATTATGGAAAGAGGGGGGGTAGGGAACCCCTCTTGTGCTCCAGTCTCTTGGAAATTGCATTGCAGAACAATGTGTATCCTGAGGCAGCTCTGGGTGCCAAGGCTGCAAGGCCACGAAACTGCTGCCTGAGAAGTGCGGCAATGGGGCGATTACGGTCTGAGCTTGCTCAAACTGGGGCGAGAAGGAGGCCAGTCTGGCAGGTGAGGCTTGGCAACACTCGGGGCTGGGCTTACCCTGTCCTGTGGCTGGCCTGTCAGGCCGGAGGGCAGGATCCCTGCCTTAGCTGTGCAGCACAGGGCACCGGGATCGTTTTTAAAAAACACACACTCATTCCTTCACTTGCCCACATGCATTTCTCATTTGCCACCTTTATTTTGGACTGACTTCTCCCATACATCCATTCTGGAGTCAGGGTGGAGAACAGATCTCAGACACTCATGCATCTCCCAAACACCCTACAGCATAGTGTCTAACAGTGCCTCAGTGGCCACAAAACAAAAGCAACAGCAAAGCATTTTCCTTAAAAGAACCACAAAGAACTTTCAGAAAACTGCCCTGAGTTTGTTCAGCCGACAGTTGTGCAAACTGCTTGTGTGGCTCAGGACATTCTGCTTCAGGGGAGGAGAAATGCCTTCAGCAATGAAATTACAGATTCTCTCTAAATAAAAGGTATCTGAGATCACTTGCTGCTTTTCTTAAGCACTTGTGCTGTAGCTAGTAATGGCTACAGTTTTCCCGGTGTTTGGCATAAGCTGTGCTATCTTCCAAATGCATGACCCTTCCAGATCATGACTATGGTCAGACATACAGTGCTGCCAGTGAGATCCCTGCTTAATTCAGCCAGAACCGACATCCAGGGATGAGCTCAGGGATGTTGTCCCTGGGATGCAGCAGCTCAGGGATGAGCTCAGGGATGTTGTCCCTGGGATGCAGCAGCCCTGCTGTCAGGGAGGGCTGGAGAATGGCCGCACTTCTTGCCGTCCCAGTGACGGAGAGCAGGAGCATCATGCCTGCACTGCAGCACTGTGTGTGAAGTACCGCTAGGAGAGATCCGAGGGAGAAAGCAGCTGTGCAGAACCAGACAGAGGACGTTTTTTTTTTTTCTGCTCAGCCCAGACAAGCAGTGTCCTACTCAATCTGCTTCTGCATCCCTGCGGGGGAGACATTGCTCTGTGCTATGAGGCTCTGCAGGGTTGCCAAGTACCAAAATAGCTTTTCTTTCGTTAACTCCATCTGAAAAAATACCTTATATTTTGCATATTCAACATGTGACTATTCCCCTTGCCTCATCTAAGACATGGGGCACCAAAGATGTCCAGCTGAAGGGAACTCAGTTAGTTAGTTTGTGCATGGAAAAGGAACTCTTTTGTTTCTGCCCTGAAAAATTTCGTGCTGTGATCATAAGCTCTTTTTAATGGATTAAAGGCTGTAGTATGCCCAGCTGCTGGCAGGTCCTTGGAGTTAGGTAGTAAGTGTCAGTATGAAAGAGGCCAGTACCAATGTGGCACTGCTGAGCGGATGAGCGTGGCCTGGGCACGGGCACGAGCGGGGAGGACAGTCCTCTGAGGCCATAGGAACGTGAGGCAACCCTGCAGGGAGGTTGTATCAGCCATTGAGAAGGGCAAAGGGGCAATTTTTGTGCCTGAATAGAAGAGAAACAGCAAGTCCTTGTTACCTGTGAGGACCTGCGAGGATTGGCATCATTTCCCTCGCAAGATCATTTATGGAGAAAATTATATTGTTTCAGTTAGACTTTAAATGAATTTATGATGCCAATGGGGTCACAAAGCCACAGCAGGAAATAAAAACAGGTCTGATAATTCATGGGCACAGCCTGGCGCAAGATAGCACAGATGAGATTACTGTCAGAGCAGGGGTTCCCACAGCCATTTGCAGTGCGAAATGGTTGTTTATTTAAGCAGTTCTTTCTCAGAGTCCAGGAGCCAAACAGGCACATGGCAGCTTTTATGGGACACCTTTGCTCCAAATGGAGAGCTGCAGGCATGGGGCGACAGGGGCTGGGAGCAGGAGCTGGGCAAGACCTCAAGTGAATGACCCACGGAAGCTGGTATTCACCTGGGCTGTCCACAGACAGGAGTCTGTTTTCCTGAGAACAGCTCTGCCATTAGTCCCCCCACTCCCATAGCCCCACAGATGTGACAAGGCCTGAGATTTCCTCAAAGCACTAATTTCTCTTTGTTCACAGTAGTTCTGGCAACAAGGGCTGGGCAAAGGGGAAACAGAAAATGGACCTGTCCACCTCTCTCACACTGATCACTTCATGATAAAGACACAAAAGCAAGTGAAGGGCTAGGAGGGCTGTAAAGCAAGGCAACACAATGATTTATTATTTCAGTATCATGGACACAGGCTCCACCTACCTCCATCTCCCTGCCATTAGCTGACTAATTTCCTGCTGGCCTCGTGGCAGATGGGAATCTGCAGAATTAACTCATCTGAGGAATTAATGAAGCCTCCAGTCAGCAAAGCTGCAGCACCAGTGTCATACAAAAGTGGAGGGGCTGATCCCAAAGGTCCCTTTTGACCTTACTGCCTTGGACTCTGCACCAGGCAGTGAAGTTGCAAAGCTAGCGGGGCCACATGGTCCCTGTGCATACGAGGAGGATGGAGGGCTTGAGATAGAGATGACGGACAGCCTTGCTGTGGCTGGCAAGAACGAGGTGTCTTTAGCAAGAGAAACCAGTACCGCTCTGAACAAACGGGAGGTTCATTATGGCAGATGACAACTGCACTGAACTTCCAGTGCCATGGAGAAAGACTAGATAGCTCAGAATCGTCCCGCACATTCAGATCTATTAAGAAAACTTGCCTTACCAGTCACACAGAAAAAGAGCAAATGGGCCTTGCTTGCACCACCTAGATTCCCTCGGTCGGACTGGTTTCCCCCAGAAGGGACACTGCCCTCCCCGATAGCCACAGGAGCCCCTGAGCCTTTCTAACTGGGAAGCCAATTGCCTCGGTGTTGCAGCAGTAGCACGTTCCCAATGAGCTGTCCTGGTCGCTACCAGAGTGGGATCAGCTCCAGGTCTCGGGATGACCATCCCCTCCGTTGGTGAGTGATGGATTTCCCCATGGAGAAACAGAACTGTGTGTAAAGGCTGTGTGATACCCTCCTTCCCTCTCTTCTCCAGTCTGAGAGCACCTGGGATTTCTCTGACAGTTCTTGCACAGCTGGTTTCCCAAACCTCCCAGCCCATCACTTCTAGCATCATTTTGCAGCTATGCTGCACGTAAGTCAAACGTCTTGGTGACCTGTCCACAGCATTACTCTGTTTCTGACAGTCTCCAAGGTGTATATTGAAGGTGGCTCTAGGATAGTTGTTATTTTGATCTCAGATCCTGCCAAAAGACCCTGGGTTGTAAATGAAACAGAGGA